ATCTGAACAGAACTAGAGGTAAGGTGATTGAATCAGTAATCATAAACCTTTCAACAAAGAATAGTACAGTACCAGGTGGCCTCACTGGTGAATTCTACTAAGCATTTAAAGACAAATTAACATAAAAAACCCTGGAACTCTTCCAAAATATATAACAGTAGAGGAAACACTTCCTAATTCATTCCATGAGGCCACCATTACCCCGATACCAAAGCAAGACAAAGACACTACAGGAAAACCTACAGACCAATATCCTTTATGAATATACATGTGAAAATCCTCAAAATACGAGCAAACAGAATCCAGAAGTATATCAAAAGGACCACACAACATGGCCACACGGGCATTTCAATACAATACACCACATTAATGGAATGAAGCAAAAAAGTACATGATTATCTCAATTGATGCAGAAAAGGCATCTGACAAAACCCAACATCCTTTTATGATAAAAGTACTTGATAAATTAGGAATCGAAGAAAAGTCCCTTAACATAATAAAGGGCATATATGAAAAATCTACAGCCAATGTCATATTCAATGGTGAAAGAATGAAAGCTTTCCCCCTAAGATCAGGAACAACACAAGAATGTTTATCCACTTTCCTGACTTCTATTCAACATAGTACTGGAAATTCTAGCCAGAGCAATGAGGCATGGGGGAAAAAAAAAGGCATCCAGATTGAAAAAGAAGAAGTAAAATTATTTCTATCTGCAGAAGACATAATCTTATGTATCGAAAATTCTAAAAGTGGCACAAAAAACTGGCTAGAGCTAATAAACAAATTCAGCATAGTTAGAGAATAGATCAGAACACACCAAAAAAATCCACTATTTTTCTATATATTGGAGCTGAAAAATATGCAAAGGAAATTTAGAAAATTTCATTTCCAATACTATCAAAAAGAATAAAATACTCAGTAATAAATGTAACCAAGGAACAACTGTATACTGAAAACAACAAAAAGTTGCTGAAAGAAATTAATATGAACTAAATGACTTAATATTGTTAAGATGGCAATATTCCCCAAAGTGATCTACAGATTCATTACATTCCAAAAGTCTCAATCGCTTTTTTTTTTTTTTTTTTTTTGGCAGAAATGGAAAAGTCAACCCTAAAATTCAAATAGAAATACAAGGAACCCTAAATAGCTGAAACAGAACAACAAAGTTGGAGGACTCACACTTCTGGATTTCAAAACTCACTACAAAGCTTCAGTAATCAAAACAGTGAGGTACCAGCACATGGACAGACAGATAAATGAAATATAATTGAGAGTGCAGGAATAAACCCCAACATTTTTGGTCATTTAATTTTCAAAAAAATTGCTCAAACCATTCATGGAGGAAAACAACAGTCTATTGTTCTTTTCTGACATTTGTTCTGACAAACGATGTCAGAACAACTAGAGAGTCACATACAAAAGAATGAAGATGGACCCTTACCATACACCATAGTCACATATAAAAGAATGAAGATGGACCCTTACCATACACCATAGACAAAAACTAACTCAAGATGGATCAAAGATATTAAATTTAAGAGCTAAAACTGTAAAACTCTTAGAAGAAAACAGAAGGACAAACCTTCATGACCTTGGATTTAGCAGTGGTTTCTTAAATAATGATGCCAAAAGTCATGAGCAACAAAAGAATAAATTAGACTTTACCAAAATTAAAAATGTTTGCATATGAAAGTTTTACATACCAAGAAAGTGTGAAGAAAACCCACAGAATGGGACAAAGTATCTGTAAATCATGTATCTGACAAGGTTCTATTATAAAGAACTCCTTTTCCCAAAGAAAGATAAATGGCCAAGAAGCACATGAAAAGCTTAATGTCATTAGCAATTAGGGAAAGGCAAATCAATTCCAAAGTAAGATACCATTTGATATCCACTAGCACAGTAATAATTATAGAACAGAAAATAACCAGTGTTAGTGAGGATATGGAAAAACTGGAATTCTTATACATTGCTGGTGGGAATGTAAAATGGTGCAGTCACTAGGGAAGACATTTTAGTGGTTCCTCAATGAATTAAACATAGGATTACCATATGCTCTAGCAATTCCAGGCCTAGGTATACACCAAAAGATAGAAAACAGGTGTTCAAACAAAAACTTGTACAGTAAAGTTCACAATAGCTTTATTCCCAATAGCCAATAGGTAGAAACATCCCAAACGTCCATCACCAGATGAGTAATAAACAAACAAAATGTGGTATATCCATAAAATGGAATACTGAATTAGTCAATTTTATGTTGCTATAACAGATTACTTGAGACTAGGTAATTTATAAGGAAAAGGGGTTTATTTAGCTTACGGTTCTGTAGGCTGGGAAGTTCAAGGGCATGACCCTGGCTTCTAGTGAGGGCTTTGTGCTTCATTATAACACAGTGGACAAAATCAAAGAGGAAGAGAGAAGAGAGAATACCCGAGGGTCTTCCTGGCTTTATAACAACCAACTCTAGAGGGAACTAATCCACTCCCAAGAGAACTAATCCAGTCTCACTAGAGCAAGAATTCACTCACTCCGGCAAGAACATCACCAAGCCATTCATGAGGGATCCACCCCAAAAACTGAAACACCTCCCAGGCTCCAACTCCCAACACTGCCACACTGGGGGACCAAGTTTTAACATGAGCTTTGGTGGAAACAAATTATATCCAAACCACAGCAAATATTATGCAACTATATAAAGGAATGAAGTACTGATACATGCTACAACACAGATGGACCTTGATATACTATGTGAGAAAAGCTTGACACAAAAGCCCACATACTTTTTTTCATATAGCACGTATAAATACAATAAATATCAATATGTTTTAAAGTCTGTATTACTTGCTAGAGTGTAAATGCCATGAAGGCAGGGAATATACTTGTTTCATTTGCCAAATATGTTTTATCACTTGGCTCAATGACTTTTACATAGTAGAATCTCAACTATTGAATGAATGAACAAATGTTCACTTTTAATATACTTCAATAGTTCCCCAATGCACTCATAATAAACTCTCAACTCTTTACTAAAGGTCATAAGCCCCATATGATTTGGCCCACATTTCTTTCTAGTCTTACTCTGACTTTACTTAATAATCTATGTTTCAGGCACCTTGCTGAGTGCTGGGGACACAATAGGAAGTAAGATAGACATAGCACCTTACCTTTATGAAGTTTATAAACCGGAAGAAAATATAAAGTAGTAAGATTAGAGAAAAACAAGGTATTAAGTATCATGAGACCCTAACAGGTATACCTGACCTGGATTGTGAGGTGGGAAAGGGAAGTTCAGGAAAGCCTTCTGGAAAAAGTAGTATTTATATCAAAACACGAAAGATGAGGAATTAGCCAGGCAAAGAAAAGGACAAGTTCCAGATAAAGGGAAGGGCATGTAAGAATCAAACACCAAAACACATAGGGATCCAAAAGAAAATTATTTTTGTAAGACCAGAATATGGAATTATGCAGGTAGGAAGGGACAGAAAATATACTGCTATCTGCTGTCTTGTGAAAAGCAAAATATAAAAGTAAAAATATTGTTAAAGAATATATGTAATCATGGTCAAAAAACAATAATTAAAATGGAAGGTTCTATTGGACATCATAAATATTTTCCATCAGGCCTGTATGAATACATGTCTCCTATATATTTCTAGTCTGAAAGCAGACGATTCAAACTTTTTCTTATTTATAGTAAAAATTAGATGAAATTGAGAAATGTATTTTTCAGCCATTCCAGATTCTAATCTCATTTTACTTCAAACATTTCATTGACTGGCTCAGTTTTAATTTTGGAACTCTAGATAGTATGTGTTTAAAAGCAAACAATGGGTTGAGAATTATAAGTCACAGTAAGCCTGAGAGTCCATACTAGTACCATAATGTTAAGAATAACTACCTCTGACACAAATATATTACATGAAAATCAGCTAATGGTATAACAGCGGCTCTTTGTTCCAGAACAATTTTGAATTGAAAGTTAAAAGACAATTTATTTTCTTGTGTCACAAAATTTTTAACAAAGGTATTTTAAAAACCAACGTTAAGTAAAATTCAGTGAGGAAATAAACACTGATGTAAGCTTATATATTCATTAAAAAATTTTTACTTATAAAGTCTGGCTATTTGCCAGTTTCAGATATATTTATATAAAATGATAAAGACAGACAATACATGCCTGTCTTGCAAGGACAATATAGTTGATTATTTATTAAACAATTGTTTGAATCCCTTTTATGAGTCTACTAACACTTGGAAGATCTTTCTGTGATGATGAGAGCTCAGCCAAGCCAGAATAAAAATATTCAGTACAAGTGTATTATGACTTCAAATAATACCACCACCTTACATTCATGTTTCATTTTTTAAAAGTGTTTTCATCTTTCGTCCTCGTATCTCTCAGAAGTTAATACCTGTCCCATTTTCAGATGAGGAAACTGTGCCCAAAGGAAGGAATACATGTGACTTTTCCAGGGTATTTACTGAATCAGTACTGAATTAAAATCTTTTTCTATTGGATCACTGCTTACTCTTGGTCCAGTGGGAGGTATCGTTTTTTTTCAATCAGGAATGATCTGAGTATTTGCCAGCAGCCAAATAATCCCAACAGACTACAATTTTTTGAGTAATTGATACTATAAATATTTAAAAGAAATGATGGTCTATTTTATTGTCATCAAGCTTCTGAACAAACCTCTTGATAATTACGAAATGTCCTACAAAAATTATGTTGTATATATGGCAGTCAAATGGATGACATGGATGAGGAAAGCAGAAAGAGACTAGAAATCAACATCTCAATCCAGCCTTTCAAAAGGTAGAATCCACCACTTCCTTCTCCTTCATCATTTCAAAACCCCATGGCAGTGAACCCCAAACTGAGGCCCGAGGGCGGATGCACCAGATTTCATTCCCAGGCTCTCATGGGCTTTATCTATTATGGGAAAATGGAGAGTCTGGGCAGAGGGGGAAAAAAAACAAAGACAGACGCGGTTTACCTTGCCCTACCTCCCTCTCCTCCTGGAATAAGGTGATGCAGCGAAGAAGCCATCTTTCAATGCTGTCAGGGCTCCGCCAAGTCAGGTCAGAGCACCTTGAAACCCCCCAGAACTCTCTTCTTTTTTTCCCCGCTTCACCTTTTCCCTCTCCTTTCGGTGACTTCTCTCCCTGCTTCCCATCCCCTCTTCTAAACTAGCGTTGCCCAGTGACATCTCACAGCCAACCCAAGACCATCTTCAGGGCCCTGGCAAGGAGGGTAGGACAGAGCCTTGGGGAGTCGTCACCTTTTGAGGTATCTGGCGTCCTCCCCTTGCATGGCGGCAGCGGCAGCGGCGTGGGGAGGATGGGGTGTCTGAGAGGCAGGCGCGGCTATTTCCGGGGACGGTGACCAAAGTACCCTCACACCCAGAGGCGATGACAGTCCTGAGGCCTGCAAGGCGGGGCAGCAGCGGCGCTTTGGTTACCACGGTGAAGCCTCCAGCTCCTCCCACAGCTCCTGGGCCCCAAAACACTGGAGCGGCCCAGACCCGCCCAGAGCCGCCTATGCCGGGCCGTCAGGACGCATGCGCTTGCTCTGCACCATTTATATGCGCAGGCTCAGTCTGAGGCGCTGGCCTCCGAGTTTGACGTGCCGGGGAGCGGAGCAGGGAAGTTTTGGTGCACATTTGAGCGTCCGTGACTAAGGAGTGGCTCCGTAGTCACCGCCCCCTTGAGGATGGGAATAGAAAGGGCTGTCAGGTCAGCTTGAAAGGACGGAGGGGAATCCGAGAACCTGTTAGCCAATGCTACAGAGCAGTCCAGTCCTAGCTAATAAGGGAGGTTTCTATTTGGGGGCCTGGATTGCACTGACGGCACTTATAAGCTCTAATTTGTGTAGATAATCTGACCCGTGTACAAAATGGATATAATTAATATCTACCTTGAAGCTGGCAAGTCTGTCACTTTGATGTCTTAGATCTAGAATACACCTCTCCCCAACCAAAACAAACAAACAACAACAACAAACAGTTCCTGAAATTCCAACTCCACCAATTATCCCTAACTCAAGGTATGTTTAGAATTGCTTCTTCTGAGGCAGGCAATTGTGAGCAGTGCAGGACATAGGAAAGAAGGGTTCTTTTATAACTGAATGTTCTCTGGTTTAAGATCTATTCCCATGAGTTCAGCTATTACGTCTATGCAAATGATTTAGGTTCATTTATTTGATAAATGTGAATTGAGGGCTGGCTGTGTGCCAAACACCAAACCAAGTTCTAGGGATGCAAAGAAAGCATCTCCACTCCCCCTCCTCACCTATAATCTTGTCACTTATTCACTGTCTTCTAGTCCTGTTTTCTCAATTGCCTTGAGACGTGCATGTAGTTGCTCTGCTGCTTTTTTCAAATGCAGTACGTTGATGCAATTATTGATTATCCGTTATGTGTAAAACACCATGTTAAGGCACTGCATGGTATATTAAATATAGAAATACAGTCCTTACCCAACAAAATATATTTTTATCTTTCCACCCATTAACACCAGCTACAACACTATTTCTGTAGATGTTATAGTCATTCTTTATTCTGCCAGGGAAGAAAATTTGAAGCTAATTTTAACTCCTTCCTCTGTATCATGCCCTCTTACTAAAGTGTTACAAAATTATATCTTTTCTTCCTTCAAGATATTCAGGTAGTCCAGTTTTTTTCTCCATTCTTACTTCTACCAATAGTCTAACCACTTTATATCTAGAGTACTGCAAGTCCTTCCTCACTGGACTTCCTATTGTTTGTTTTTCTAAATATTAATTCCGCAAAATGATGTAAAATTTTACAAATTATCATTTATGACAACTTTAACGGTAATATAGCAGGCTAGATTACTTTAAAACCTTCACAATACCTAAAATTGAAAGACAAAAATATACATTAAAATGCATAGATAATATAACAAGGATTTTTGGAATGTAAGTCATCTCCTTGAGCTCAGAGAATTTATTTTGTTCACTTTTGTATTCAGCCTATAGTTGTCACTGAATAAATATTTGGTGTTGAAAAAATGCAAACCTGAGCTTGAAAAAATGCAAATCTGAGCTTGAAAAAAACAACAGCAACAACAAAAGCCTAGAGAAAATGCCCAGAGGCCAGAAGGAAAAGAGATGGCTGGAAATGGAAACCAGAGCAATAAATAGATAACTGAAACTGGGACTGAACTAGATAAGCTGTCTGTCTATGGCAGGAAAAGTACAAGATGAGCCTGGAACATTTTATGCTTGACAGTAAGGACATAGAAAAAGACTAATAAGATTATGTAAAAAGGACACTGGTGAATTTGAGGCAATTTGGGTATCAAATGGAATTACTGGGATTGATTTGACACATAAAATAAATAAAAAAATGAAATCCATAATGATACTCAACAACATAGAAAAACAGGGAAAAAAGAACCCCGCTTCCATTGGAGGCAACTACTACATCAGATCTTCACTCTGAAAACTGGTAATTAAAAGAAAGAAACACTTAATCTAATTCTTTTGGAAATAAACCAGATTTCACCTCCTTTTGACAAGGAAAAGCTCTTCTTAACAGAAAAATACCTGGTAGGAATGGAGAAAAATAATGATAGTTACTGTTTTGCAAGCCCCAATAAACAATGGATTCAAATAAACCCTATTAATTTACTTTAAAATAATTTAAAGTGAGGCAAAGTTTTACTCCACATATTTCTTGATAATTCTAAAGGGAAAGAAATGTTACTTTACAATGAGGAGATCTGGCTGTCAGCATTTTAAACAGACAAGCAAACAGCATCATCAGTAACAGGCGAAGCCAGCTGGACATCTGGGTTGGATGGGGACTTGGAAAACTTTTCTGTCTAGCTAGAGGATTGTAAATGCACCAATCAGCACTCTGTGTCTAGCTAAAGGATTATAAACACACCAATCAGCACTCTGTAAAAATACACCAATCAGTGCTCTTTGTCTAGCTAAAGGATTGTAAATGCACCAATCAGCACTCTGTAAAATGGACCAATCAGCAGGACGTGGGTGGGGCCAAATAAGCAACTAAAACCTGGCCACCAGAGCCAGCAGCGGCAACCTGCCTGGGTCTGCTTCCATGCTGTGGAAGCTTTGTTCTTTCGCTCTTCACAATAAATCTTGCTGCTGCTCACTCTTTGGGTCTGCACCACCTTTAAAGAGCTGTAACACTTGCTGCGAAGGTCCACAGCTTCACTCCTGAAGTCAGCAGGACCACAAACCCACTGGAAGGCAGAAACTCTGGACACATCTGAACATCTGAAGGAACAAACTCTGGACACACCATCTTTAAGAGCTGTAACACTCACCGCGAAGGTCCAGAGCAATTCTACTCCTAGTTCTATACTTCAATATTTCTTCCAATATCATTGGAGAAATATTGAACTAGTAGAAAATGAAAAATGGAAAAACAATAATGAAATACTTTTGCAGGAGAATGAATGAATACATTTGAAATATTCACACAATACAATAATATGCAGCAGAGAAAGTTGATGAACTTGAACTTTACATATGTCATTGTTGAATATTAGAAACATGATACTGAGTGAAAAATTGTAGAATATTAAATACAGCATGATGCTTTATTTAAATTGTACCATAATTTATATACACTAAAATGCATTCTTCTTGGCCTACAGTTCTCTAAGTTTTGACAAACTTGTAAGTCACATAATTACCCACATAATCAAAATATAGAGCAGTTCTGTCATCCTCCAAAATTCCCTTGTATTCCTCTGGAGTTGTCTTATCCCCACAACCCCAGGCTCTGGTAAATACTGATCTGTTTTCTGTTCCTATAATTTTACCTTTTCCAGAATGTCATCTAAACGTAATCATAGGAGCTGTAACCTTTTGAATCTGGTTTCTTTCATTTAGTGCAATGCATTTGAAGACAATCTATGTTGGTTTTTTTTTTATTGTTAGGTACTATTCCATGGTATGACTGTACCACAGTTTATTCATTCGCTAGTAGAAAGACATTTGAGTTGCTTCTAGCTTTTGGCAACTATGAGTAAAGCTACTAAAAAAATTTACATACAGATTTTTGTGTTAATTAGTTTTCTTTACTCCTGTTCAATTATCTAAGAATACGCTTACTTAGTTATGTGGTAAATATATGAATGACTCTGTACAAAACCGCCAAACTGTTTTCCAAAGTGACTGCCGTTCTGCATTTCTACCAACAATGTATAAGTTCAGATTTAGCCAAATCCTTTCCAGCACTTGGTATTTTGGGGTTTTTCAATTTGTCTGTTTACTCTCATCATTCTAATAAGCGTGCAGGGCTATCTCACTTGATTTTAATTGCATTTCCCTGATTATTAATGGTATGAACATATTTTCACATGTTTAATTACCGTTTCTATACAATTTTTGAATTCTCTTCAAATTTTTTATCATTTTTAATTTGTATTTTTGCCAGACTGATAAACTGAGCACAGAGATATCAACAGGTAAGTAGATAAAGATAGGAAAAATTACTAATATCTGAAATGAAAGAAGGGACATCATTCAGATTCTACTGGTATAAAAATGATAATTTGAAAATTATGAACTTTATACTAATAAATTTAATGACTTAAATGAAATAAGCCAATATCTTGAATTATATTTATTGAGATGGTGACAAGACAATAGCAAAGACTTGGAACGAACCCAAATGTCCATCAATGACAGACTGGATTAAGAAAATGTGGCCCATATACACCATGGAATACTATGCAGCCATAAAAAAGAATGAGTTTGTGTCCTCTGTAGGGACATGGATGCAACTGGAAACCATCATTCTCAGCAAACTATTGCAAGAACAGAAAACCAAACACTGCATGTTCTCACTCATAGGTGGGAATTGAAGAAATCTACATTTCACTGGATTGAATGAAGTGTAGAAACTGCATCTCCCTTTAAGTCAGTTTACTGTCTTCCATTTTTAATAAAATTATCTTGAAAATTTCCTTTACATACATTTAGAACTATATCAGTGCTATCATTTTGCATTAATCATAAAATAATTTAGAAAACTTAAGAGAAGGAAGGTCTATCACCAAAATTTAAAACTTCCCTTGGAAAGACACCATTAAGAAATGAAATGGTAAGTCACAGACTGAAAGTATTTGCTGCAAATCTATATGACAAAATAATTGTATTCATGATATAAAGAGAACTATTACAAGCCAACAAAATATCTAAACAACCTAGCTAAAAATGAGCAATTGATTCACAAAAATGTCATA